CTGCAATGAGAGAAGGAGCTAGATCTCAGCTGCAAGTCCCGAGTGCGGCCTCTGGGGCAACAGCTGCCTCCTGAGCTCCTGGTCCACAGACTGAGGGGAAATTGAGTGGCTGATCAGAAGGGGATTGCAGGGATCTCTCTGCCAGTGCTGAGGCAGGAATCTCTTGCTGTGCCTGTGCTGAGATCTGGGTCACAGTTCTGAGGGGCGGTCGTGGTGCGAGGAGGAGTGCTGGTATGGTGGAGCTTGTTGTGGCAGTGGAGAGAAAACACCTCAGAAGAACTGAAAATTTACAGGTCCCTAGAAGTATCTCTGAAAACAGTTGTACAAACCCCTGAAGCTTGGGACAAAGAGTTTAAAACTCAAGTAATTGACTGGGATCATGAGTAAGCAGCGCAAAAAGAGTCAGACTATATTATCTTACTTTGGTGACAAAGAAGATCAAAACATACAACCAGAAGAAGACAACAAAGCCAAAGCTCCTACATCCAAAGCCTCTAAGAAAAATATGAATCAGTCCCAGGCCTTGGAAGACCGCAAAAGGGATTTTGAGAAGCAAGTAAGAGAAGTAGAGGAAAAACTAGGAAGAGAAATGAGAGTGATGCAAGAAAATCATGAAAAGCAAGTTAACAGCTTGCTAAAGGAGACCCAAAAAAATACTGAAGAAAATAACACCTTATTAAAATAGCCTAACCCAAATGGCAAAAGAGGTCCAAAAAGCCAATGAGGAGAAGAATGCCCTAAAAAGCAAAATTGGCCAAATGGAAAAGGAAGTCCAAAAGCTTACTGAAGAAAACACTTCCTTAAAAATTAGAATAGAGCAATTGGAAGCTAGTGACTTTATGAGAAATCAAGACACTGTAAAACAAATCCAAAAGAATGAAAAATTAGAAAACAATGTGAAATATCTCACTGGAAAAACAACTGACCTGGAAAATAGATCCAGGAGAGAGAATTTTAAAATTACTGGACTACCTGAAAGCCATGATCAAAAAAAGAGCCTAGACATCATCTTTCAAGAAATGATCAAGGAAAACTGCCCTGATATTCTAGAACCAGAGGGCAAAATAGAAATTGAAAGAATCCACCGATCACCTCCTGAAAGAGATCCCCAAAGGAAAACTGCTAGGAATATTGTAGCCAAATTCCAGAGTTCCCAGGTCAAGGAAAAAATATTACAAGCAGCCAGAAAGAAACAATTCAAGTACTGTGGAAACACAATCAGAGTAACACAAGATTTAGCAGCTTCTACATTAAGGGACTGCAGGGCATGGAATATAATATTCCGGAGGGCAAAGGAGATAGGATTACAACCAAGAATTACCTACCCAGCAAAACTGAGTATAATCCTTCAGGGGAAAAAATGGTCATTCAGCGACAGAGGACTTTCAAGCATTCCTGATGAAAAGACCAGAGCTGAATAGAAAATTTGACTTTCCAATACAAGACTCAAGTGGAACATGAAGAGGTAAACAGGAAAGAGAAATCATAAGAGACTTATTATGGTTGAACTGTTTACATTCCTGCATGGAAAGATCATATTTGTAACTCATGAGACCTTTGTCAGTATTAGGGTAGTTGGAGGGAAAAAATTATATGTATGTATATATATGTAGATAGATATAGATACAGATACAGATAGATAAATAGAGGACATAGGGTGAGTTGAAAATGAAGGGGTCATATCTGTAGAATAAAATTAAGGGGTGAGAAAGGATTATACTAAGGGGAGAAAGGGAGAGATAGAATGGGGTAAATTATCTCACAAAAAAAAACAGAAAAGAAAAGGCTCTTACAGTGGAGGGGAAACAGGGAAGGTAAGAGGGAATGAGTGAATCTTATTCTCATAGGATTTGACTTAAGGAGAGAATAACATACACACTCAAATGGGTACAGAAATCTGTCTTACCGTATAGGAAAATAGGGGGGGAAGGGGACAAAAGAGTAGGGGGATGGTAGAGAGGAGGGAAGATTGGGAAAGGGGGTAATCAGAAGCAAATACTTCTGAGGAGGAACGGAGTCAAAAGAAAGAATAGAATAAATGGGGGAGCAGGATAGGATTAAGGGAAATAGAGTTAGTTTTTCACAGCATGTCTACTATGGAAATGTTTTGCATAACTGCACATATATAACCTATATTGAGTTGCTTGCCTTTTCAATGAGGGTGGGTGGGGAGGGAGGAAGGGAGAAAATTTGAAACCCAAAGTTTTAAAAACACGTTTAAAAAAAAAATGTTTTCACATGCAACTGGGAAATAAGAAATACAGGAAATGGGGTACAGAAATCTATCCTGCCCTACAGGAAAATAGAAGGAGAAGGGAATAAGACAAGGGGGGGAGAGATAGCAAGGAAAGCAGACTAGAGGAAGGGGTATTCAGAATGCATGCCATCTTGGGGTGGGGGGAGGGGTGAGATGGGGTGAAAATCTATAACTCAAAATCTTGTGGAAGTAAATATCGAAAACTAAAAATAAAAATTTTTTTTTAAAAAGGGGGTCATAAAGAGTAAGACATGACTAAACAACTAAAACAAAAACTAACAAACAACTAAACAACAACAAAATATACAGGACACTGTCCAAGATGCTAGGAGAGATACAGAGAGGTTCCTGACCTCACTCAAGCTTATAGTCCAGTCACAGGGCTTCTAAAACTTTTTCTACTTGCGACCCCTCCAATAGTTAAGAAGCACTCTAGTATAGTAGGTGATGAGACAAGACATAAACATATTTAACTAAAATAGGAAGTAATATGTAAATACATAAGAGCAAATGAAGTGCTATAAGGAAAGGGTTTGTATTTTATAAACTTTGGGCTTATTAAGTTTAATTAGTCTGAGTTTTGGGAAGTTGTTTATAAGAATACACTACCAGTTGAATTTCTTTGTTTTCTCTTGATGGGAGGGGAGGAAAGAAGGAGATATCTAGTGAACGAAGTCATTATAAAGTTATATGGAAGGAATAGCCAAAAAAACAAAAAAAACAAAAAAACATCATTCAAGCAAGAGGCTTCTGTACTGCCTGAGAGGAAGTCCGGGGGCTGTTTAAAAAGGGAGTGAAATCAGGCCCAGGTGAGCTGACATGAAGTTGTTTTAGGCAGAAGACATCATTCTTATATAAGGCTCATGAAGAAGCTAGTTGATCTAGAGGAAATCAGGATGATCCTAAAACCACAGAATAGCATGGCATAATAATAATGTACATAATTCTATTACATAAATCATTAAAAATGACATAATTTATAATCATATTATATAATAATGATGTTATAAATTATGTAACATAACTATATCATATAACTGTAGTTACAATTATATATTATTTAACTATAATAATGTACAGAATAACTTAGACATTATGTAGCAGGTAAATTTCTAAAGAGGGATGAATGCCAGCCCAGGGCATCTAATTACAGTGGCAATGGCTGTAAGAGGAGATGGTAATTAGGGAGCAGGTATAGCAGATCTCTTCTCTTAAGAACCAAAAAAGTGGGAAAAGGACCCACATGTACAAAAATGTAGTTCTTTTGGTGGTGGCAAAGAATTGGAAGTTGAGGGGATGCCTATCAATTGGGGAATGGATGAATAAGTTGTGGTATATGAATGTAGTGGAATACTATTGTGCTATAAGAAATGATGAGCAGACTTCAGAAAACCTGGAAAGACTTGTATGGACTGATGCTGAGGGAAGTGAGTAGATCCAGAACATTGTACACAGTAACAGCCACGTTGTGCGATGACTAACTTTGATAGACAGACCTTCTCAGCAATGTAAGGATCTAAGACATCTCCAAAGGTCTCATGATGGAAAATGTTATCCACATCCAAAGAAAGAGTTTGAATGCAGATCGAAGCATACTATTTGCTCTTTTTTGCTTCTGTTTTGTTTTGTTTCTTCTCATGGTTCCTCTTATTAGTTTGAATTCTTCTTTACAACACGGCTGATGTGAAAATATGTTTAACAGGAATGTACACGTACAGCCTATATCAGATTGTGTGCAATCTTGGGGAGTAAATGAGGGAGGGAGAGGGAGAAAATCTAAAACTCAAAAGCCTATGGAAGTGAATGTTGATAAATCAAAATAAATTAATAAAAAAATTAAAAAAAAAAAAAAGAACCAAAAAAGTCTAGGAGTCTTAATGCCTCAAACCAGAGTTCAGTGATCAGGAACTTTAGAATAAATAATGAAACATTAAAGCCCTGAGATTAAAGACAAAGGTCTACTGTGTCACCTTCAAGGGGCAGAACGATATCAAATAAGTCAATACCAGCTCATTGAGGCCTGTGTATAAGGTTTAGGACTAGATACTTTACAAAGTCTGAAGTGGAAAGGAGAATTATTGTTGGGGGAAGAAGGGGAGGGAGGGAAACAAGGACTGCTTTAGCTTTTAGGCCGAATTGCAAGATTCTGAATAGAAAATGGGAGATAAAGAAGTTGCAGTATCAGATATAGACCACTTTTTAAGAAGTATGACTGTGAAGATGAAGGAGTTGGGGGGGGACGATGATGATACAGCACTTTAAAGTTTTCAAAGCATTTTATATAGACTATCTCAGCAAAGAACAGGGATATCCATTTCTCTGTAGAAAGGGAAGAAGAGAATGGATAATGATTTGAGAAGTTCTGAGGAGTAGAGCAGGGAAGTTGGAACACATCAATCTTTCAGTGATGTGGGGGGCAAGGACATATGCTGCAAGTGAGGCTGGGAGCTTTAAGAGACAGGAAAAGATTTACAACAGTCACTGTGGGGAGCGGGAGACTTAACAAGCAAGTAAGTATAAGGGCCCAGCGGAAGTAAAGTGTGAAATACATCACGTGATTAACAGGTACAATCTTAGGTGGTAGACTGAAATCAGATCAGCCATGATGAAATTTCTTAACTCATTAAGAAATGCCCTTTTTCCTAGATTGTTACACAGATCATTTAAAATACAATTAGTGCAAAAAAAAAAAAAAAAAAAAAAGGAAAAACCCCACCAAAAACAAAAATAGGCATATCAGTACCTGGTGGGTTGCCACAGACACTAAACGGTTTCTTGATGTCAGACTTCAACTTGGATGCCAAGAGAAATCTCCTGAACCATTCTTCTTTTTCTCGGCCAGTCCTCCCAAAGAGATACAGTATCTGATCCTTCTGGCCTGTGGATTTTGTTCCATCTGAAGAATGGGTTGACTTCCTATGTTCTTCACTACCTGAGTCTTTCTCACATGAAGTCTTTTCTTCTGAAATATCTTTATCAGGCTGAGCCTTGGTCATAAAGTCATCTTGTCTAGCAAGTTCAATACAAATAGGGTACTTTTTATTCCAAATGCGTTTTCGAGCCAAACTCTTGGGAACAAGATAAATCTAAAGAAGAGAAGGAAATGGTGATTTATATATAGCAAGGTAAAGTCTGAATAATGCATTAACATCTTATACAACATAAGTTAGCAAGAGGAAAAAAAAATTACAATGACACCCTTAAGGTACACTTGATCTTAGATAAAAGACCCAGCATAGTCCACATTCCAGTCTAGTGAGTTTCACTGATAGTCTTCAATGGGACTGCAAAACTTGGACACATGCAAATTGAAAAGCCTTCTAAATAGCACAAATAGCAAGTTGTTGTTTTGGGGTTTTTTTTGATAGTTTTCAGACTGTTTCTTCACCAAAAATCATTGGAAAAATCCACTAAGTTTACCACATCATCTCAGATTTTAGCATCATCACCATGTGTGACATCTATGTTAGATTACACATTTAAAACAAACAAAAATGCTCCACCACCAAACCTTACAATTCTGGACAGAAAATTACTAACTTAAAAAGGACAATCCCAAAGACAAATTTTAGACAGATTTTTGTCATCTCAGAAAACTAAGGCTCAATCAGAGCCAACGGTTCCCTAAATGCACAGCCCATTCTTTGAGGAATGATGCTCAGAGAAAAAAATTTCTGTATTTTACAAAAATGAAAAGGAATTAATTTTGAAAGCTTCTAGGACATGTAGCAAAACACACAGCTACAGAACATATCTATTACATTCACATTGACAAAGCCTCTCTGTCTCTCTGTCTCTTTCTGTCATACACACAACATCATTTCCTTTTGTTCTACTAAAGAGTAATAATATCCTTGAAACTGTCAGAAGTATACTAAATTATAGCAATGTTCAAAAATAGCACATTTTAGATAAAATATCACAGGGAGAAATGTCATAAAGCAATACATTTTCGTCAATATTCTCAGTTCAAAAATTCCTAGAGCTCACCTTACTGTCTGAAAGATTGTAGATTTTCTGGCTGACGTAAGTGACTTCAGGTTTGGTCTCATTGTAGCTGGCTCTTCTGGATATATTTTTATTGGGCTTTGAAAGCCTCAAGGTTTCCCCTTCAAGTCGAACAAAGACTGAATGTGTCAAAGTTGCATGGTACGTCTCTGGATCATAGTTGTAGATCTCATTCATCCATCCCTAGTAGACAAGAGTTCTATTAATAACATTTGCACAATTGGAAATCTGATTAAAATATAAATAAGCTGAAAATACTTAAGGGGTGATGGTTCTCCCCAAAGTGAAATTCATTCTTTACCTCTAAGAAAAATCAAAATAAAATGATTTAGCAAACGCTGATTAACAGGTGAAAAAAGGCCCCCCCCCCCAAAAAAAACCCTTTAGGATCACAGAATCATGTAATGTTAAAACGCAGAATGTTATGAGCTAGAAAGAACTTAAAGACAATCTAGTCCTACCCCATTTGTTTGTTTGTTTCCTTGTTTGCAAATGAGGAAACGATGGCCCAGACTGTTGAATCCACAGCTTACATAGCCTGCATTTTGAGTTTGGGAGGACATTAGGCAGATCTCATCATTTCATGACACTGGCCTTCTCTCCATTCACACAAACCACCAAGTGATTTCTGACCATGTTGCCCTTCTCTCTGCCCTCTACGCCCCTTCAGATTCCAGCGGTACCCCATGACCTCCAGGATCCAGCTGCTTCCTACCTTCCACTCCCCTACATACACTCAGCCACACCGCCTCTGTGCCTCTGCCCAGGCTGTCCTCGTGTCCAGCGTACTCTCCCTCCTCACCCCCATTTCTGCTTCAACAACCTCTACTTCCCTGGCTTCCTTCAAGAAAACCCGCTTAAATCCCGCCTTCTTTAGGAGATCTTTGCTGGTCACTCTAACTGCTCCCATATACCTTCTATCTGCTACTCTCCACATATCCTGTTAGTATTTATTTTTTTTTTTTTTAAGGCAATTGGGGTTAAGTGACTTGCCCAGGGTCACACAGCTAGGAAGTGTCAAGCGTTTGGTCTGAGGCTGGATTTGAACTCTGGTCCTCCTGACTTCAGGGTCGCTGCTTTATCCACTATGCCACCTAGCTGCCCCCAAAGTCAGAGTTTCTAAGGGGGGAAACAACTCAGTGAGAGGAATATTCATCCAAACCAAGACAGTACTTCTTATTTGTCAAATAAATTATTTGTTTATCTCTAGGTAAACTACTAATTAATTGGTGGAAGATATACAAAGTTATCATCATGGCCTCAGATTTTACACAATAAATATACATTTTTCAGTGACTTTTCAGCACTCTATCCCATATACTAGATGGACAACCCTCACTATTTATATACTACACATCCCTGGAAACCACCATGAAATAGATCATATTTGCCTACTGGGACAAAGTTATAGTTAGAATCTACATTCCAAACCAAAGACTCAGTATTAGATGAATCACGGATCTGACCAACAACGTGTTACTAAAAAAAAAGATTCAATGATAAAACTCTAATATCTTTTGAAATGGAGCAATTACTTTCCAAGTCTTAAAAATGGACATAAACTACAAAAAAAGGAAAATAACAAATTTTGAAGGGGCTGTGTGAAAATAGGCACGTTAATGCAGTGTTGATGAAGCTAGGAATTGGTTACAAAATATTCTGGAAAACAATTTGGAACTATCTCCAAAAAGTTTGTTGTTGTTCAGTTGTCTTCAGTCACGTCCAACTCTTTGTGACCCCGTTTGGGGTTTTCTTCGCAGAGATACTGGAGTGGTTTGCCATTTCCTTCTTCAGATCATTTTACAAGATGAGGAAACTGAGGCAAATAGGGTGAAGTGACTCATAGAGGGTCACATAACTAGTAAGTATCTGAGGCCTGATGAGAACTCAGGAAGACTCCAGGCCTGGCACTCTGTCCACTTAGCTACCTAACTTCCGCATCCAAAAAGTTACTAGACTCTGAATACTCATTAATACAAAGATGGCTCTACTAGGTCCTCCACCCTCCCTCTACTCTACAAAGAGATCAAAAAAAGAGGAAAAGGGCTCACAAAAATATTTATAACTTTGTAGTGACAAAGACTGTAAACTAAGGGAGTGTTTATCAACTGGGGAAATGGCTGACAAATTATGGCATATGAATGTAATAGAATACTACTATCCTATAAGAAATGAAGGTAGCAGTAGGTTCAGAGAAACCTGGGAAGACTTGTAGGAGCTGATTCAGAAAAGGCTGAATTGATAAATAAAAGCAGGAGCTGGGGGGGAAGGGGGAGGGATTTTGTTTTTCTGTTTAGTTGGTGTTATTGGATGTGTTGGTTTTCTAAGGCTGTTTTTTGTTTTAAATTTCATGCCCAATTCTTTGATGTATTCTTCCTTCCTTCCTTCCTTTCTTTCTGGTCTTTATAGATATATATTTTCCTCTAGGATTGCTTTGGCTGAATCCCAAAAATCTTGGTGTCATGTAAATTATTTATTATCACATTCTTTAGAATTATATTTTTAAGTCTCCATTTAAGTTTTAATTTTTTTCTTCACATGCCCTTTCTTGATTATAATTTATGATGCTTTGTGATCATTACAGGATGTGTTTGTATTTGAGTTTTTTATGCCTAGGCTCATCAATTTTTTGTAAAGATGCCATGTAAAGCTGAGAAAAATGTATATCCCTTTCAACTCCTATTTAGTAACTGCCATGTCTAACTTTTCTAAAAATTCTAGTTCATCCCTAAACTTCTTTCTTGCTTATCTTTTTTATTAGATTTTTTACTATTTTTTCAATTATTCTAAATTAGTATTTTATTTATTTACATATTTACAAATTAATTTAAAATAAAATGCAGAAATATTTATATGTTTATTTATAAATTATTATTTATTATTTTATTATTAGATTTTTCTAGGTATGTTGATTCTCTATATAGTTTGATTAGCTTTTCTTTTAAGTATTTAGTTGTTATGCATTCAATTCACACATACATACACACATACATAGATACACACACAGGATTGATATTATTTCATTATCTCTGGAGTCTTTGAGCATAAGATAATTTCCTGTTCACCTCTTAACCATCTTTTTTGCTGCTGCCCTTCTTGAGATTATGATTAACAACTTGCTTACCTGTATTATCCCGAGGTATCATAAATTCTGCTTCAGCCTCTCATCTTAATTCTGTATTGAACCTTTATGGTTCAAGTGTGTTTACTGAAAATAACATGTTGCATTCTGCTTTCTAATTCTTTCTGGAAATTTTCTTAATTGTATGGGTGAGCTCATCCCAGTCACACTCATGGTTATGATTATTAATTGCATTTTCACCTTGATCATATACTCATAATCTTTACTTTTTGATGCCCTCCCCCAACAAAAATCAATGCAGTTAGATATCCACAAAATATAGGGAATTGATAAAAGTATATAAGAACAAGAGCCTTTTTTTAATGGATAATCTAAAGATATATACATAGGCAGCTATCAACAAGCATATGAAAAAAATGTTCCAAATCATTAATAAAAACAGTGCAAATAAAACAACTCTGAAATGCTATCCCACACCCATAAGATTAGTAAAAATTACAAAAGTGGGAAATGGCAATTGCTAGAGAGGCTATTAGAGAATGAGCACATCAATACAATGACTGTAGGGCTGTAAACTGGTTTAACTATTCTGGAAATTAATTTGGAACTTTATCCAAGGTTATTAAATAGTGCATACAATGTGATCTAGCAATCCCATTACTGATACTATACCCTAAAAAGGTTAGAGAAACTGGAAAAGGACACATTTATAAAAAAAATGTTACTAGTAGCACTTTCTGTCATGGCAAAGAATTGCAAATTAATTGGGTATTCATTAACTGAGAAATAGCTGAACAAAATATGGAATAACTGTGAAAATGGAATATCATTGTGCTATGAGAAAGGGATAGAATTAGAGAAACCTTGAAGGACTTGTATGAACTAACACAGCATAAGGTGAGCAGAACCAGTAAAGCAATTCCTGCAGTGACTTTAAGGAAAATAACTTGGAAGACTTTAAGATCTCTGGTCAATACAATAATCAATAATGACTTCAGAAGACTATTATGACACTTGCTCCCCAATTCTTGGTAGGGAGGGTTAGACAAGAGGTATGGTGTAAGATATACATTTTAATATATGGTCAATAATTTTTTGGCATAATCACTTCATTTGTCTCAGAAAAGGGGAGAATTGGTACATAATGACAGAGATGTTAAAAAGATGAAAACAAAGAAAAGAGTATAAATGAAACACTAAAAATACAGAAAAGAGAGTAGAAAGGAAGTTTAAAAAGGGACCCAGACAAAAAGGGCAATTTTGTTACTATCACATTAAATTTACTAAACTTTAAAAAAACAAATTGTATGTAATAGTTTCATACACAATCCTCTTCCTTTTCTTTATATTTTGAAATTTTCATGTTGGTTGGTATTTGCCAAAGTAATAATAATAAAAAAACCAAACTTCTTAAAAAGCATTAACTTTCTCACTCATTGTTAAAGCATCTCCGAGATCCAAAATATCCAGAGTACTAACATGAATAGATAACACTAAAAGCCATTCCCCATGGATAAGTGGTCAAAGGATCTGAACAAACAGTTCTCAAAAGAATGACAAACTATTAAGAACCACATAAAAAAGTGCTTCAACTCACAGTAAGTTGAGAAATGCAAATCAAAACAACTTGGAAGTTTCACTTCAAATCCAGCAGCTACAAAGATTACAGCACTGTGGTAAATGGAAAGGCCAGTGCAACCACTGGCTCCGGAATCAGGAAATCTGGGTTCACATCTCATCTCTAGCACTATCTCTTTGACCTGGAAGTCCCTTGAATCCCCTGGGCCTCAGTGTCCTCATCTGTAAAGTGAAGTGATTAGGCTAGCTGGTCTTTAAGGTCCCTTCTAGCCCTAAATTTATAGTGCTGTGACAAAAAACTGGAATAGTAAATGCTGGAGGAATTATGGAAAGACAGACAAACTAACAAATTGCTGTTTATTAGAGCTATGAAGTGGCCCAAATACTAAAACAGTGACTTAAAATACATATCCTTTGATTCAGAGTTCCCATTGCTAGAAATACGTCCCAAGGAGGTCAAAGTAGAAAGGTCCAACATATGCCAAAATATTTAAAGCAGTCAGCCAAAACCACTTATTAAGCT